AAAAAAAAAAAGAAAGTAAGAAAGAAAAATGGGACTTTTTTGTGTTTAACTGATTGCACATTTGTTGGTGTGATTGTAACTTGTAAAAACAGCCATAATAGCTCTTCAGTTTATAAATGAATTGCTGGATTCATTTTAAGTAGCCTCATGACATCTTGTGGAAATAAAAGGGCATTAAATAGGAGACAAAAGCAGTCCAAGTAATGCTTGACATGAATGAGAAAAGTTTACTGGAACTTTCCCACAACACTGATTACTCCCATCACCACTCTGTTATTCTCTAAATGAAAAGACTGGTCAACTATTTTTCAGGTCAGGTAAGTCACAAAAAAAGTACACTGGTTGTTTTCTTGCTTGTTTTTTTAACGCAATTATTTTCTGATAATTGCCTGAATCCCCTCGATGCATATATTGTTGAATGTTCTTGAGCCTGTGCTCGCCCTTATTCCCACAGTGATGTATCTCCTTCAGTTCTTCAGCTCCATCTTTCTCTTGCTGCCAACATCCAACGTCGGTCCCTTTTCTTGTCCTGTCTGCATTTGTATCAGCAACACGATTTTTTTTCTGGTGTGTGTGTGTTGGCACTTATGGTGCCGTTGATTGGCCGAGAGTTGGCTCGCAGCAGAACTCGAGGCGTGTCCTTGCTCTCGAAGTCTTCGGGCTGCACGTTAAGGCCGTTACGAGACAGCAGCTCTCTGGCCATCAGCATGAAGGCTTCGTCCACATGCTGACTATCCTAGAAAAATATAAAAAAGCTCTATATAACAAGTATCATCGGCATTAAATGGTCACATTTATTTATTATATGCGTGTATTACCTTTGCAGATGTTTCTAGTGCAGCCAAGATGCCTTTTTGTTTTGCCAGATTGCAGGCTTCTTGAAACTGAACCTCTCGTTCCTGCTCCAGGTCACATTTATTACCTAAATGGAGAGAATAAAGAAGCTAAGTGATGTACACACAGTGACAATTCTGTTAATATTACCTTGCACCTAATTTACATAATAAAGTCAAACTCTACTCGTGTCCATACAGTACTGTGAGCAGTAACACATGTTAATTTTAAAATGTAGTAAGCAGCAGCAAGACTCCCAAGACACAAATCAAGCTTAATTGGCTAAAGATAGGGCATTAAGTTAGAAAGAACAAAAACAGAGGTGGCTGGGTTGCAAAGTGGCTTGCAGATCGCAGGAACAGACTAAAGTTGTTGTTGAAAATGATACAATTGTATATTTTGCATAAGCAGGCCATGCTAACTACAATATTTTTTTATTTAGTTGAGCTTGGTATCATTTTCACTTAAAAACTTAAAAAAAAAAAAGTGCATTTCTTCAGTCAAAGCATACTACTCACCAAGCAGCATTCACTTATTTACACAACGACTGATGCATCCCACCAGTTTTTTGGGGGAATTGGGAAAGACATTCATGATTCAGCCACTGAACATCTGTGTGAACAAGCCTTTCGAACTCCTTAGCCACATCACAGGAGAACGTTTTCACAGTAATCTGTGTAAAAACTGCCAGGAGAAGAGGCTTTTTCTCATTTAAAGGCTATTGTAATCAAATTCCCAGTATTCTTTAGGGCTAACGGCATACCAAGAAATCTTCATTTCCTTAATGCTTTCAGTCGTTATCAGTCCTGTCAGCACTCACCTATGAGGACGAGAACCACATTGGCTGCTCCATATAGCTCCACCTCTTCTATCCAGTGCTTCACTGAGTCAAAAGTTGAACGCCGTGTGATGTCATAGGCAATCACCGCGCCGTGAGCGCTGCGGTAGTAGCTCTGGGTGATCGTACGAAATCTTTCCTGACCTGCCGTGTCCCATACTTGCATCTGCAACAATAAATCATATTTAAGAAATTACAGGAGGATGGTATCATAGTAAAGTAAAGAGTATTATTACTATATCGAGACAATCATTTCTGGATTTAGGTTCTTGTTCTCAGTGCTCTGTATCAGTGAAGTACTTACTCCAAATAACGGTATCAGGATTTTGGAACATGAAAATTTCCACCTAGTGCAAGGCAGCTCAGTGGATACAGATGTTAATCTTTCAAAATGTGATATGGAGTGCCCCACAGCACGAGTGTTATCTGGACCACCCACCTACACACATAAATGCTCACACAGTTGAGCACTCATTAGTCTTCCCCTGAAGAACAGTCCCCGAGGACCAGACAGACCTTGTTAGTGTGGTAACAACTGTCATAGTAGCAAACGAGACTCACCAACCCCACCCCATTTGTTTTAATGCTTTGTGATGGTTACACCTAATGCAGATTATAGACATATGCTCAGTTTGTTTTTGAGCATAAACTTCTACATGCACATGATGCTGATCAATATAAATCTGCAATGCCTTTAAAACAGGCTAATGACTCTTTTATGTAGATGTGAACGGCCTCGTTTTGTGACTAAGTAACTCTTTGTAGGGGCTTCAAATACATGCTTTTCTGC